AAAAAAGAACATATAATATCATGGGATGAGAGAAAAATACATATAATACTATGGGATGAGAGAAAACATACACATAATATCATGGAATGAGAGAAAAATATGTATAATATCATGGAATGAGAGAAGATTACATATATTATAATGGAATAAGAGAAAAATATGTATAATACTATGGAATGAGAGAAAAATATGTATAATATCATGGAATGAGAGAAGATTACATATATTATAATGGAATAAGAGAAAAATATGTATAATACTATGGAATGAGAGAAAAATATATATAATATCATGGAATGAGAGAAAAATATGTATAATATCATGGAATGAGAGAAGATTACATATAATATCAGGTGATGATAGAAAAATGCATATAATTTCATGGAATGAGAGAAGATTACATATAATATCAGGTGATGATAGAAAAATACTTACAATATCATGGAATGAGAGAAAAATACTTACAATATCATGGAATGAGAGAAAAATACTTACAATATCATGGAATGAGAGAAAAATACTTACAATATCATGGAATGAGAGAAAAATACTTACAATATCATGGAATGAGAGAAAAATACATAGCCCTGAGGCCCTGAATCCTCAGGCTCATGGCCCTTCCCTCCACCCCGTTCTGCATCCCCAAATCGTATTTACAGGTAGGCAGACAATATCGGAGGTCACCCAGATTGATTCAACAGGATATTGTGGTGTAGACACAAAAATCTGTACTACTACTTCTATAGAAAAATTAGACTACATGTTACTTTGTGAGCTTTTAGTGGCACCCAGATATAACTGTTATATACGGCTGAACTGGGTTTGTTCATCGACGACCGGGTTGCCCATTGGCTGGTCGGTAGACGACTTCGTCGTTGGTCGGTACAGTATTTGGGTCTGTGTTTTTTGATCGTATCAACGCCGCAAGAGTCCTTTTCATGGCTATTTGGTGGCGAGCAAAGCTAAGCAACTCAAATAACATAGTCACTGTTATAACCAAACGTTCCCCCCGTTTGGGGATTCTAGTTCAACGTGACGATTTTTTTCTCGCAAAGCAAGCTAAGTCAATTCAAGTCAAATACGTTTGAAACAGGACCTGTTTGATTCTCATCTTCAGGTTGTCAATCCTACTGACTGCAGTCCTGGAGGGGAATGCACAAATAAATGAATCAATCAATCAATCAATCAAGAATTCACATCATTGCTCTTGGGCCACTCCCACGCGTGCTTCGTCCCCTTCTTCAGGAACCAACGAAGAGTCGACAAGCTAAGAGTACCAATCGCAACATGAGTAAAGTCCATCTGTTTCCCACTCAATGTTAAATATCATCCAGAACCTATACCTCTCCCCCCGTTCAATTATCTTTCAGTGTATCGATTCTCTGTTCTAATGGCACTCTCCATTTCATCCCAGAGACATGAGGAGGGGGAGGGGGCATAAAACAAAATCTCCGGCTAACGTTTGAACGGGGTTTCTGTGACTTCTTCCCAGGGGATCTTCATTCGCATGGTGGCATTTTGTGTCACCAGGTGTTTATCGCTTGGTGGATGTCCTGGTGGAAGTTGAATCTCATTCATTCAAAAGATTCTGGCTAGTGAGAGACGGTCACACGGGAAGCTACCTGGCCATGTCAGCGGCACGTCTGCCAGAAGAGACAGTCGCAGACGTCATGTCGCCCAGCATCTGATTACAACAATGAATGTTTGGTGATTTGTGATTGTTTTTCTTTTGTTTACTGCAGACTCAAGAGTTGTCATCTCAGGGAAAGGTGGGTTAGTTTTAGATTTTAACTTGGTGGTGAAATTTTGCGACGTGCGGCATGTATATATTTTTTTAAGTTTAAGGGGAAACACTATTAGTTTTGATGTTAATGTTATGATTACCTGATGATCAAACCCGGAAAGTGAAATATGGGGAAAGTCCGTCGTACAGGGGCAGTGGCACAGTACGGTAACACAATATTACGGATCGACGCATACGAAAGGTGTTGTGACATGTAGTAAATTCTAATAATGAATAATGAATGTAGCAAAATATCAAGCCTAAAGGGATGAAGAAATTATATTGACAAAAGATGAAACGTAGGAACAGTCAGTTGGATTCGAATAGTATAAGGAAGGGCTACAAATAGCAATAATAATAAATATGATGTGAGTTATTCAGTTAAATTATTTACATTTACGTCCAGGAACATAAGCAAAATAATAAAATGCAGATCATCAAATACTATTATTTTCAACCTTGTATGGTAAAAACCTGGATAATCATCTTCTTCGCGTTCACCAGCTGTAAACTGGCGGAAAGTTCTGGTTTTTTGTCCACTTCTGGACTGCAGTGCTGTTTCAGAGCTTTGTGTTGCGTTGCATCCATTTGAAGTTTGAAAGATCTGCCTAATTTGTATGCAGACTGTTGGTTCCTTGCCTCTCAGGCAGATGCTCTCCGACTTTGAAGGAAGCTCCCAGTTAGTCGACTCTTACGACATGCTATTCTGTAGGCAGTGGGTCTATTCTTGTTTTCCTTGTTTGGCTACAATAAATCATTTTTATATATGATTTTTTTTTACTATTTTATACTGGGACTTACTTTAAAAATATGCCTTGTGCACAGAAAGATTAGTAGTATTTAGTATTTTCCTAGAAACATTTTGAAATAAAGTCAGTAGTGAATACAGTTTTTCTAAGGAGAATGAGTGAAAGGAGATTTGCTGAAAGACATAACATTGAAACAAGTGAACTATTTTGGCTACATTGAAAAAACTAGACTCTTTTAACTCTTTGAGTCCCAGGGAATGCATCATACATTCATAGGTTCATACCTAGAGACCCAATAAAGGCAAGATGCGCCTATTTTACATCTCTTTTGACTACCCCTTGGACCTTTTATGCTAAACCCCTTGGGACTCAAAGTGTTAAGAACCATACTGATACTGCATGGAAAAGTGGAATGCAAGAGAGCAAGGGGTGGATGATAACTAGTTAGAGGACTAACATCAGGAGATGAACAAAAAAGCATTCTGAGAAAGTGTACAACTAGAACAAGAGGCAGGGAGTGCTGAAGATCCACTGAAGCTATCCTTTACTGTGGAGACAGCAACTGATTGATTCCTTGAGACCAAACAGATCCTGCACTGACCAAACAGACACTTCAGGCGTAATGGTGCAGAAACTGGCCAGTTTATCTGCCTGCTCATTTCTGAAAGCATCAGCATAACCTTGAGAAAATATCTAAAGAATGCTTGCCACTCTGCATGGAGCATGCCTGTCTCCACCTTCTCCACATACTTGGTGAATCAGTTACAATTACGACACGTGGACACCTGATTTTCAATCTCGCAGAATGCAGCAGAGACTGCTCCACCTCCATTCTCAGACTCGACATTGTGATATCGTATAACAGACTTTGTTGCACTAAGCGACGTCCATTAAGTTTTGCTATGAACCCCCATGCCCTTTGTCTACCTTTCAACACAGAAGCCATCTGTATAGATAATCACATCACCTGGGATGGAATTGTCATGAATCATTTGTTGAACCTCTGATTCTGCAGCACCAGCTGGCCAGTCCCTGCACTCACGACCTAAAGTGCGTAGAACCTTACACGTCTGATTCTGCAGCACCAGCTGGCAAGTCCCTGCACTCACAACCTAAAGTGCGTAGAACCTTACACGCCTGATTCTGCAGCACCAGCTGGCAAGTCCCTGCACTCATGACCTAAAGTGCGTAGAACCTTACACGTCTGATTCTGTAGCACCAGCTGGCAAGTCCCTGCACTCACGACCTAAAGTGCGTAGAACCTTACACGCCTGATTCTGCAGCACCAGCTGGCCAGTCCCTGCACTCACAACCTAAAGTGCGTAGAACCTTACACCTCTGATTCTGCAGCCCCAGCTGGCCAGTCCCTGCACTCATGACCTAAAGTGCGTAGAACCTTACACGCCTGATTCTGCAGCACCAGCTGGCCAGTCCCTGCACTCACGACCTAAAGTGCGTAGAACCTTACACCTCTGATTCTGCAGCACCAGCTGGCCATTCCCTGCACTCATGACCTAAAGTGCGTAGAACCTTACACGCCTGATTCTGCAGCACCAGCTGGCCAGTCCCGGCACTCACGACCTAAAGTGCATAGAACCTTACACCTCTGATTCTGCAGCACCAGCTGGCCAGTCCCTGCACTCACGACCTAAAGTGCGTAGAACCTTACACGCCTGATTCTGCAGCACCAGCTGGCCAGCCCCTGCACTCACGACCTAAAGTGCGTATAACCTTACACCTCTGATTCTGCAGCACCAGCTGGCAAGTCCCTGCACTCACAACCTAAAGTGCGTAGAACCTTACATGTCTGATTCTTGCTCGGACACTTTAACCCACTCCTCTCCCTGCCCACATTTATCTGGCCTGCACACATGTCTAATTGTGTCTTCAGCTTGCGCCATCCAAGACCGTCACTTTTCAGTCTGTGACCCTTAGCTTTGCTCTACCTAAGGAGGTGCTTCTTGTCTGCAGCTACTCTGAGATATGACTTTTGCTTGCAGAACTCTGAGCCTGCCTGCAGTAGTAGGCAGTGCAAGTATATAACACATAATAACAATAAATTCTAAACAATAATAGGGATTGGAATGATATATAACTAAAAGAATAAAAGACAGGGATTGAAATAATATATAACTTTGAAAGAATATTAGAGACATTGAAACGGAATTAATAATACCTGGAGATCAGAGTAATTAGTAATTTATAACTTTGAAAGAATATTAGAGAGATTGAAATGATATATAACTTGAATGAATAATATCCAGAGATCAGAGTAATTTATAACTTTGAAAGAATAGTAGATGGGAGAATGGAGTAATATAAAACTTTGAGAAAGAGGTCACAAACATGTAAAACCAGTGAAGAGTTATTGTTAGAATCCTAGAATCGCTAGGAACATAACACTGACAGTTTTATCGTATTTGCATTTTTTTTTCCAGCTCAGTTCCCACAGTTTAAACAGCAGCATCATGGCAGAGGGAGATTCGTGCACTTTTATACCCGATATTCCCTGCATCCAGTCGATAGCAACAACATTAAAACAGTTGAGTTTTAGATTTCCAGAGCTGTTGCCATCGCGGCATGTCTCAGACTTGAGCCGCTGGCCCATCTTTTCTATTCTGGACACAGAGCTCCTGTCAAAAGTCAAGAAAATCTGTGTGTTTGGGAGCTCGGGCAATGAAGCCATCTTTATAACCGATACTGATGATGTCTACGCGTTTGGCTCAAACTGCAGCAGTTGTCTGGGATTAGGTATTTCATTTTCTTTCATTTATTGCACTTCCTGTTCACTGTTAATGTCGATTGTTGTGTGGTGTGTACCAAACCTGACTTCGCAGGTTTAAAGTTTTGATATGCTTTTGGTCACATGATGTCATGTGTAAAACCTAGAAAGGTTTTACAGTCTTTGTGTGTCTGCGTGCAGTTTAGCAATTTAAAAAAAAAAACAAATATTAAGGCAAATTACCATATTTCCCCGTGTATAAGATCATCCTGTGTATAAGACGCAACTTGATTTTAGGGTAAAAAAAAATAGTTTAAAAAAATAGTTTTTTATATTTTAAGATTACATACAGTTATTGAACTCACGTTTCATTCATTACAGAATCCAGAAAACTCCTCATCACTATCAAAACTCTCATCCATTTCATCATTCTTTTAGCCTGTCTTCATCTATGTCTGATGATGAATCACTCTTCATATATTGCCCCATCCTCAGTTCCATCTGTGGCCTTTAAAACACCCAATTTTCTGGAATGACTTGACAAACATCTCGATCTTCACATTACGCCAGGATCTTTCCACCGTGATACAGATGTCTCCTGTGGATAGTTTCTCCACACTACCAACTGGTTTCAGATTATGCCCTGAAGACTTCATCCATTTGTTCAGTTCGTCTGTCATGGCAACTTTGAACGCTGACATCAAATGGTTGATGCTACGATGTCAAGTCTGCAGGCATGATGGCGAGTTTTGTTTCCTTCTCTGCAGAAATCATCTTTATGTTTTCTGTTATGTGTTTCCTGAACTGATTAGGCACTGATAGGGCAGGTTTGCATAAAAGTCCAGCTGGTCTTCTGCTGAACACACATTATTTTTCTAAGGCATTTATGGGCAAAATGTAACATAGTATAACAAGTACAAACAGTAAGCGTGAATGCCAGTGCAAAAAACTATTATAGTATTTTTTAAAAACTTGATGTTTTTTTTCTCCAAATTTTATGTTGCCCTGAATTTACATTCCTAAATGAGGCTCTGCACATGATATTGTCTAAAAATAACTACTACCAGTGCATAAGGCGCACACTGTTTTCCGACCATATATTTGTATAATATTAACATATTATGTTTCCGGTTTGTGTCAAGATGGCGGGACGTGTTTCTCTCTAGCTCGGCGCATATCGGTTGATCGGCGGTCCGACAAGCTGTCATCGCAAACCACCAATTGTTGTAGAATCAGATTTCTGGCTGTAACTGCATGATGATTCGTTCTAATCTGTTAAATTCGAAGGACATCTGTAAAATTGGTTACTGGAATGTTAGAACCATGTATCAAACGGGGAAAACAGCTCAAGTGTGTAATGTTGTGAACGATTACAACCTGGATATTCTCGGTGTCAGCGAGTGTAGATGGACTGGTTCGGGTAAAATAATTTTAAGTTGTGAACAGAAACTATGGGTTGACAAAATTCTGGAAGACCTAGACTTCGCCGACGACATAGCACTCCTGAGTATCTACAGGAGATACCGCACCAGAAATACCATTTAGAATAGCACTGGCATCTAGTGCCTTCAATAAACTGTCCAACATCTGGAAATCAAAGACACTTAGTAAACACACAAAACTCAAGATCTTCAATTCTTGTGTGATTCCAGTACTAACCTATGGATGCGAGAGCTGGAAATCAACGAAAACTCTAGACACAAAATTAGACAGTTTTGAAAATAAATGCCTTAGAAGAATACTAAATTTCAAATGGTCAGATTTCCGAACCAATACACAAATAAGGCAAGAATCCAGGCAAGAGTATGTGTCTAATTTTATACGAAAACGCCGCTGGAACTATGTCGGCCACGCCCTTAGAATGGATAAATCAAGACTCCCTTACCAAGCTCCCATTTGGACACCAGAGGGGAAAAGATCTCGTGGAAGACCAAGGGAAACCCTACGTAGAACTATCATCAGGGAAGGCTCACTCATGGGCCACTCAAACATCCAAGACCTACAACAGATTGCAACGAACCGCCATGCATGGAGAGTCATGACCTCTGCCCTATGTGCCGCACTCGACACAAGAGGAAAGACTAACTAACTAATTAGCATGACACACTTGAGGGAGACATATGGTATATGTGTATGTATGTATATATGTGTCTGTCTCTCTATGTATGTATGTATCAGTGTATGATATTGTTTTCCTTGTGCAGCATTGAAACATATTATTTATGTATGCTTCCTACAGGAGACTCTCACAGCAGTCTGGAACCAAGAAAGATTGACATTCTGTGCCAGAAAAGAGTGATTGATATTGCATTTGGCAGTGGACCACATGTAGTTGTTGTTACTCAGGGTAAGAACAGTCTTTTAGTTGCTCCTTTTTTTTTAAGTGTAGGTCTGCAGAAGCCATGAGTCTTGTCTCAGGGCTTCACCAATGCAAAAACACTTTTACAGTCAGTGAAGATATAGAATACAGAAAATAAAATAAAAACTACAGACTCTTGATACGTAAACAAGCTTGGCAGAAACTCGTAAAACAGAGTTTTCAAGACTCGGAACAGAACTGTGCCACTTGCTTATACTGGAAACTTTGAGTTCCTCTACAGCTTTATAAAGTGGAGACAATAACAAGATGGACTTCTGTTTCTGGTGTCTAAATGTCAATTCTTATGGGAGCAGATTGTGATGTGGTGGTATTGTTACAGGACCAACTCTTCTGGCTTCCTTTGCTTAACATAATTAAATACATTGTTAATATTGTACCTGTAATTAATTAGCATTAAATGGGTGAATTCAAGAATGGCTGAAATATAATAGAAGAAGCATCTGGACAACCGCTGTTCTCAACAGGTATTCAAAGAAGATGGCAATCGGCACATCTTAAGGAAAAGTAAACAGAGGATGATCAGTCAGGCACCTAAATGAGAAAGTCAGATTGAGGATGTCCAAAAGGAACCCTATGACGAACATTGATGACAGGGGACAAACTTGCTTGTCTAGATTCCATCCATGCTGTTGAAATGATTGCACAGGACGGAATGGAAGAATAAAGTGTGAGCCCTCTGTGATATATAATGATACAACAGGAGGAGGATGCTGATGATAAAATGGCATTTGATCATGTTCGTTCTTTCAATGTCTATAGCACACATGCTTAGGACTAGAGTAGGTATGCTTACAGTGGTGGTATACTGACAGTGTGGGTATACTGACAGTGTGAGTATACTGACAGTGTGGGTATACTGACAGTGTGGGTATACTGACAGTGTGGGAATACTGACAGTGTGGGTGTACTGACAGTGTGGGTGTTCAGTGAGATAAAAAGGTATTGGATCATGTTTGTACTTTCAGTTTCTATAGCACGCGTGCTTAGGACTAGAGTAGGTATACTGACAGTGTAGGCATTCAGTTATGATAAAAAGGTATTTGATCAGGTTTGTTCTTTTAGTTTCTATAGCTCACATGTTTAGGACTAGAGTAGGTATACTGACAGTGTAGGCATTCAGTTATGATAAAAAGGTATTTGATCAGGTTTGTTCTTTTAGTTTCTATAGCTCACATGTTTAGGACTAGAGTAGGTATACTGACAGTGTAGGCATTCAGTTATGATAAAAAGGTATTTGATCAGGTTTGTTCTTTTAGTTTCTATAGCTCACATGTTTAGGACTAGAGTAGGTATACTGACAGTGTAGGCATTCAGTTATGATAAAAAGGTATTTGATCAGGTTTGTTCTTTTAGTTTCTATAGCTCACATGTTTAGGACTAGAGTAGGTATACTGACAGTGTAGGCATTCAGTTATGATAAAAAGGTATTTGATCAGGTTTGTTCTTTTAGTTTCTATAGCTCACATGTTTAGGACTAGAGTAGGTATACTGACAGTGTAGGCATTCAGTTATGATAAAAAAAGGTATTTGATCAGGTTTGTTCTTTTAGTTTCTATAGCTCACATGTTTAGGACTAGAGTAGGTATACTGACAGTGTAGGCATTCAGTTATGATAAAAAGGTATTTGATCAGGTTTGTTCTTTTAGTTTCTATAGCTCACATGTTTAGGACTAGAGTAGGTATACTGACAGTGTAGGCATTCAGTTATGATAAAAAGGTATTTGATCAGGTTTGTTCTTTTAGTTTCTATAGCTCACATGTTTAGGACTAGAGTAGGTATACTGACAGTGGTGGTATAGTGACAGTGTGGGTATTCAGTGATGACACAAATGTTAGATGTCCCATTAGCAGCCCAGTGATCAGAGTGAGCAGACACTACCCTTATCTTGTTTGAGTGGAAGAATGCACTGTGAGCTATGTGTGACATTGGGTGTGTGTACTCTGAAAGCGTGTTGAAAAAGATGAAGACAGGGATGCTTCGAGCAGAGTGGCAAGCTCCACTGGAAAGGTCATGGGTAGTGAGCATACTTTAGATCTTTTCTCCATGCTATTTCGGCGTAGTGGGTAATGAACAGGTGGATAGATTGGCTGGATCCGCACCACTTGGGGTGTGAATTGATACATGACAAGGCAGATGTGGTCAAGGCCCTTTGGTAACAAGCAACGGAATCAGTAGAGAAAAAAAGATTATTATGGCCAGGAGAGAATGAGGCACCTTGGTGTAATCAGAGGGTTGGGCCGGCTCACTACATTCAGAGGAAAGACAAGACAGACTTTTAATCAGATTGTGACCGGTACCATCAGTATTGGAACTCTGCGCTGGCTGTTGGAGATGAGGACGGAGCATGCATAGGAATGCCCCGAGTGCTGTGATGTCACTTCTTGAGATGACTCAACTGGGTGTGTGTGCCGAAGTGGTCAAGCCATTTGCCTCATTGTGTGTGCCGAAGTGGTCAAGCCATTTGCCTCATCCTCAGAAGGACAAGGTTTTGTTTCACTGCTGCGCTATTTGGTTCACAAGTACACTTTTTATGGTACATGCCCAGGGATCGGGCCAGAGTTGCGGAGTTCATGCTTTTTGATGCTCTCTACCGTTGGCTAGCTATTCTGCGAGAAAACCCAGATTAGTGGGATCAAAACCAGGTCAGTGAAGTGGATCCTCTCACCTTTAACCCTTACCTGTCTAACATGTAACATGATGATGGTATGATGGTATTGCAGGTTTTTTTTTCAGCATTGATAAATTTGTTGAAATGTTTATTCTTGCATGTCAGTTAAAAAATGAATTCTTTTTTCCCGACCTGTCCTTGTACAGCTGGTGAAGTGTACAGCTGGGGTCACAACGGATACTGTCAGCTCGGCAATGGGAGTTCGAATCCTGGCTTTACCCCTGGGCTTGTGACCACAAACTTGTCTGGTCGAAATGTTGTCAGAGTGGCTTGTGGCAGCCACCATACCATGGCCCTTACATTAGATGGCGAGGTAAATCGATGCTGATTCTGTATTAGCTCTTTCTATACCAGAGGAAAGTTAAAGTAGTTATAAATTAACTTGTTGTGCATTTCTTCATATCTAAACAACACTTGTCAGCACATTTTCAAAAGTTATTTGTATCTGAATTAATTACACTATTTCTGATTGATTCTTTCATGCTGATTTAATATACCAAAATTAAATTAACTGATGACAGATATCTTGAAATCTGGGGGGGGGGGGGGGGGGGGGTTCCCAGAATTTATGACATATTACCCACTCCCAACTGTTTACCGGACAGAAGAATTAAAGAAGAATGTCAGATTCTTAGAAGCTAAATTTCTGTTTTATATGACCTTCTTGCTGATGGGTATCAAAAGACTTTAGACTAAGAATATTAAAAGCTTCATGACGAGTGTACTGACTAGAATTTTTGCAACATTTCTTCTTCTTTTCGCCTTTGCCCAAGTGATGTATTTGCATTGTGTCTGTTTATATCATAGTTGTGATATTTACGCCTTTCGATCGATACATCCAACTTTGTTCACCAGGTTAACCTTCCCGGATTTGTGCAGAACAGTGTACAACACAAAAAGCTGTTAACAAGTTTTGAATAATTCTGTTCTTTTACTAAGTGTGGATGAAAGGATGATGATATCCTTTTGTTGTTTCATCTGACTCAGATTTATGCCTGGGGTCAGAACAATTGTGGCCAGGTAGGCACAGGATCTACAGCCAATCAGCCATCGCCTAGAAAGATCACAGCAGTTATTGGTGAGTAAATCTTGTGTGTGTATGTGGGAAACTCGAATGAATTCAGTTTTGCTAATGTTAATAATGATCATCTCTTAAACTCACTTCTCTCACTATGGCCTTGCCTAGAATATATTTGTTGTGCCTGCAGTTATGTGTGTGTTTATGTAAGTGTGTCAGCTTACTATACACTTTTGTGTTTATCTGTGCATATGCGCTTAAATCAGGCACTGCCTGTGCAGGGTATAATCTTGAAAATGTCTAAAACACCCTAAAAAGTTGTTGAGAGAAAAAAAAAGTTGGCGAATTTAGCTACAAACCCCACTATTATGTTTCTTATTTATTTGTTGTTGCTGCCACTATTAATTGTATGTTTCTATGAGTGTAAAATGCTATTGTTAATTATTCAGTCATTTTTGAATGCTCACTCTTTGTTTTTCAAGCTAGAAAAATCTAAACATTTATAATTGGCTGAAAAACCATCTCATCGCTCATTATGTCTGTGTTTCTTGTAATCTTTTTAGGATAATACAATCTAATGACTCATTAACTGAACATCTTTTGTAATGTTTCTAGGAGGCAAAGCTGCTCTAGCTATAGCTTGTGGTCAGACGTCGTCAGTGGCCCTCATGGACAATGGTGAGGTAAGAAGTGGTTAGCAGTTACATAGACTCTGCCACTGTGGGTTCCGGGGTCCCATTTTGGGGAAAATAGAACAGACCCATTGTAGCAGAAATTGAGGTCCTGTTCACGTTTCCTGGCCCGTCTACACACTACCTGACCTTTTATTTATACTTTCTCAGACTCTTCTATGTCGGAGGGGTGTCACATTGTTTTCCCTCCGATTACATCAGCGCCGATGTTGCATGTTCTGTACCACACAATGACAAAACTTTCAGCGACCCCAAAACATGTAGAATTGGCCCTAATCCAAACCCCCCTCCTACAGCCTCAACCTGGGTCACACGAGAGACTCTTTTTAGAAAAAAAAAAAGCAGTACAACGTGACACCTCTCTGACCTAGATCAGACTGAGAAAGTGTGTAGATGGGCCAGGAAATGTGAACAGGTCGGTCCGAAATTGACTAAGGGTGTTTGCTTCAAAGTCTGAGTGCATCTGCTTGAGATGCAAGGAACCAACAGTCTGCACACAGATATGCCAGATCTGTAAAATTCATTTCCATGCAAAACTAAAGTTTCTGGAACAAGACTGAAGTGGACGAACAACCAGAACTGTCAGAGTTTACAGCCTGTAAACATGAAGAAGAAGAGGTTACATAGACATGTTTGCCTTTTTGGTTATTCTGCAGGGAAGAGCTAATGGTACTCTTAGGACATTCAGGACATTCCCATACATGCTCCAACTCCTTTCTGAGCAGGCAGTGAAGAGTGCTCATACTGATGGTGCTGGCCGCAAGCGATTACAAGTTTGCAGATTTTTCTTTGTGGAAAATCAGTCTATGTATGTAATTGTTAGCCATTGCACAACTTATCTTCTTCATGTACTGCCGATATGCATGATCTTTCATGATTCACAGTCTCACATGATCACCAGAATTAGGAATAAAGTCAGTGCTGTTGTCTTGCTGCCATCCAGACGGCGCTGTTTTATTTCTTCAATTAGCCAGCTGTCTCCGAGTTCTCTGTCCGTCTATTCCTTCTCATAGCCTGCACACAACATTGATTGTCAGGGAGCTCTGCATCTCTTATTTTCGATTCAATCAATCAGGTGTCATCTCAACATTGAAGGTTTGCTGCAGGGAATCTCCAGCATGCTCTGTCTCTTGTCTCAGTTGTAGACTCAGACGGGGGCACTGGAACCCACACAGAGTTAGTGAAAGTTAGTTAGTTGTGTATCCTTTACACAAGGTTTCAGAACCAGCCTCAGTATATTTTTTTTTGGCTGTTGTGATTTGTCTATTGAGATTTTACGTCCAGTAGTTGTTAGGGAAAGTAATAATACTAATGGCTTCTTGGTACTGTCTTGCTACAGGTGTATGGTTGGGGTTACAATGGTAACGGACAACTTGGCATTGGAAATAATGTGAACCAGCCGAACCCATGTCGTGTACATTTGCTGCAAGGGGTCGTGATTAACCAGGTATGTTCATTAGCTTGCCAGGGAGGTGAGAATATTAGAGATGTGTCCAGTCATTGTTATCCAAGTTGGCTCTACACTGATGGATTTCAGGTCAATGTTATCTATGTTATGAGGAGCGGGTGGCCGAGTGGTTACAACATTAGGCTCTCATGCAGGAGACCTGTGTTCAAGCCCTGGTAAGGTGATGGAGTTTTTCTTTCAGGGCAAAAATTAAACATCCTAGCTTGTACAGTCTCTGGCGACAGCACTAGCCTTGTGGCCCACTACCTCCCTGTCTACACAACCCTGAAAAGGGCTAAATACAGAGAGTAGTGAAATTAATTCATGTTGCTTCTTCACTGGATTTCTGGTGATTTCAATCTTTGTTATCCATGTTGACTCTACACTGAAGGATTCCTGGTGATTTCAGTCATTATTATCCGTGTTGACTTTACAGTGGTGGATTTCTAAGCAATTTCAGCCTTTGTTATCCATGATGACTCTACACTGGTGGACTTCTGGTGATTTCAGTCATTGTTATCCATGTTGACTCTACACTGATGGATTCCTGGTGATTTCAGTCATTATTATCCGTGTTGACTTTACAGTGGTGGATTTCTAAGCAATTTCAGCCTTTGTTATCCATGATGACTCTACACTGGTGGACTTCTGGTGATTTCAGTCATTGTTATCCATGTTGACTCTACACTGATGGATTCCTGGTGATTTCAGTCATTATTATCCGTGTTGACTTTACAGTGGTGGATTTCTAAGCAATTTCAGCCTTTGTTATCCATGATGACTCTACACTGGTGGACTTCTGGTGATTTCAGTCATTGTTATCCATGTTGACTCTACACTGGTGGATTTCTGGTGATTTCAGTCATTGTTATCCATGTTGACTCTACACTGGTGGATTTCTGGTGATTTCAGTCATTGTTATCCATGTTGACTTTACACTGGTGGATTTCTGGTGATTTCAGTCATTGTTATCCGTGTTGACTTTACAATGGTGGATTTCCAAGCAATTTCAGCCTTTTTTATCCTTATTTACTCTGCTGCTATGATGGATCTCAGTTTCATTGTTTTTACACAAGTATTTCATTCATTATGGCTCATTCTCCCTGTTGAGTGGCTGGCTGAGGAGTGTCACACAAAGCATGCACTACATAGCTCCAGTGTTACAAACAAATTGCTTCTGTGAACCAAACAGTTGTGTCCAAATGTCATATTTTATTGAATATAGGATAGCAGAAAACTAATAAATTATGAGCATTAACAGGCGCCTGCACAGAATAGACAGAATTAAATGGTATGATAGAATCACTAATCTTTGGGAGAGAACTAAACAATTTACAGCCAATTAAGAGGTGAAGAAAAGACACTGCCATTAGATATGACACACATTGAGACAAACCTGAGAATAATTTAACTAGAATATCTTTGCCAAGAGGCAGGGGAAGACCAAGAAGAAGACGGATTGAAGGAGTCACTGACAACTTGAGACTTCATAACATCACGGCATATGAAGCGACTGAGTGCGCTCTGGCTCGGTTGCCGATCATCTGATAGACTGCGACGCCTAGCGGCACAAGCAGATTTTGACAAAAGAAGAAAGAAGAAGATCTTTGCAGTGGAACCCACAGGGGGCGTATAAATTAAGGCAGACCAACAATACATGGAGAAGGAAGCTAGAGAAGGAAGTTGAACAGGTAGGACATGGGTGAGTAACATGCAATAGCAAAGGATAGAATGGCTTGGCGGAAATAGGTTGAGGGCCTATGCTCCATTGAGGGATAAAAGACTGAAGAGGAAGAATAACAGCAATCAATTTCAGACTGAACATCAGAACAACAGAAGCAATGAGGATAAGAAGGAAGAAAATTTCATTCCAGTTTTTGGGGAAAAAAAGAAAAGAGAAGACCCACTCGTCCTCAGTGTGAATTTTGTAAAAAGTTTCTAAATAAGGAATTTGCTCAAATCTGATGCCCAGCTGTAAACACTGCAATACATTATGCCAACATTGTAAAGGTAAACACTTAAAGAAAAAGAAGGATTGATATTATAACAATATTCACATTAACACGTCCAGGCACACAGCAGGTTTACTCTCTTTACCAGAAGCTAACAGACCATTCAACATATAAATGTTTTTGACTGCAGGTTGTCTGTGGGTATGCTCATACTTTGGCTCTGTCCGACGAAGGAATCATGTTCTCATGGGGAGCTAACTCTTATGGTCAGCTGGGGACCGGAAATAAGGCGAACATGGTTTCACCAGCTAAAGTTATCTGCCAGGGTGAAAAGTATGAACCAAATTTATTTTTAAATTTTGTTTCTAATTTGTAATCTGGTTTTGAAATATCATGTGTAGAAATGAAACCGAGACAATGATTTCACCTATATTGATGACACTGAGCCAAACTTGTCTAATTGCTAAATCATTGTTTTGAGAAAATCAGTCCGGTGGCTGATAAAAATGAGTAGCTGTGTGAAAAGTATTACTTCATTTTGACCTTTTTTTAAGTAGGAATTCATATGTGTGCCTTTGGCATATTGTAAAGTAACAAATAAACACCCAGAAAGTAAGATGAGAATCACCAAAATTGCACTTGGATGACTGGTGTATTGCTAATAATATCAGTTTTTCTAGCTTAATTAGGTCAATTGAGACAAAAAAGAGAATTCTTGAAAGCTAAATAAATCCTATCTTGATATATGGAAGTGAATCATGGACATTTGGTAGACAAGTGAAAAGTTATTTGGAAACTGCGGAGATGTGGTTTTATAGACGAATGATGAGAATACCCTGGACAGATAAAAAGAGCAGTGAGAATGTCTTGAAAAAAACTAACTCACGAAGAGAACTGACTGTGCAACGTCAGAAGGAAACAATCTACATTCTTTTATTATGTAATGAGATGGAGAAAACTGGAGTACATCGTGACATTAGGAAAGTTGGAGGGGAGGAGAGGCAGAGGGAGACTGAGAGAAAAGACGCTGGACAGTTTGACATAATGGTGTGGAGGATCATCTTTGTCAGAGTTGATTGAAAGTACACAAGACAGAGGGTTGTGGATAGACATGACTACCAATGAATGCCAGATGACATGGACTTTGAGAAGAAGAAGCTTAATTGTCATGTATTGGCTTTAGGTATGCCGTGATCTTGGTTCAAACCTGAAATTTACTCTTTCTGTGCTGCTGTAGGTTCACTAGAACATGTTTTAAAACTTCTTATCCTCTTTCTGCTTTTGCTGTTCCTTCATTTTCTCTCTCTCTTTTCTCTCTCTCTCCATTGGTAGGCGTCTGTGGCTCAGGCATTGCAAATATGCTTTGTAATGCTGGGGTGCCAGCTTCGATCCCAGCTGCAGGGCTTGCTCCTTGCATTGGTTTTGACAGTGGCATTGAGAGCCGACTGTCCAGAAAGCAGTGGCAAACTGCTGGATGTAAATTTGCCTAGAAAAACCACAGTAGCTGACAAATGCTGGGTTTGATTCTGCGATGTTCTGTTAAGGATACACAACTAACTTACTATCCCCCAACTGGAACTGGCCAGCTTAAAATTATCACAAACACAAATGACAAGTGAACGTTAAGGCTTAGAAAAACTTCATCAGCACATTATACGAATAGACAATGCTACAGTTAATGAAAAAGGGTACACATAATCACTTATCTGAAGTATCTCCCAGAGAAATCCACGTCTGTCTGGCCAGTTGAATCTCTGACATATGTGGGGTGCCAGAAGTGAATGCTAGCCAAAAAAAATGTAACTTACATATTAGATACACCTGTGTTAGACGTTAAGTCCTCTAGGTGAGCTGGAGCCCATTATATAGATACAGCAGTTCTTGAGAGACTTACAGATTCTGTAAGTTGGAGTGGCTAGACTTAATGGCCGTAACCTCAGTGTTGAGGAAACTTTAGTGACCCTGAGAACTGAAGTGCACCGTCACTGCTTTGAGCGCACCGTTCTGCACACCAAAAAAATGTTGCCTGAACTTGTCAGATCGTCGTAGCCCTGTTTCACTGATATATTTCATACATCTTTTGCAGATGATGGTGTAAATTATATTGCTACCCGTGCAGTAGAATGCCTCACACCATGCCATTTTATTTTGCTATCTTCACCATTTCACCCCCTATATTCCTCTATTCATCTGTCTTCTTTGCATTCACCAGCTGTAATCTCCAAGGAAAAATTCTGGTTGTTTTTCCACTTCTGAAATCTATTTATTCCTTTTCCTGAACCTGAGTGTCATGTGCACATCTGTTTTACAGATCTGACTTGTGTGTGTATGCAGGCTATTGGTTCCTTGTCTGTCAGGCGGATGCACTCCAACTTCAAAAGGAAACTTCCAATTGGTTGACTTTGAAGACTTGCTTTTGTAGGCAGTAGGTCTGTTCTTGTTTTCTCCGTACTGTGGTCCTAGAACCCACACAGGAAATTCATTTTTTTTTAAAAACGTTTCTCTGTTTCAGTGTGTGTACATCTAGGCAATAAGCAGATAAGCTGAAAAACATTTATTCGCGGCAGAGATGTGGTTGCTGAGAACAGCGCAAAAAATGTTATGAAAGGATCAAAAAAACAAAAGAAGCAGTGCTCATTAAGATAGTTGAAAGACAAATAAACTTATTAGAACAATTAGACGTAGACAGTCATACTTTTGGGCATTTTATGAGAAGTAAACTCACAAACTTGGTAACAACTGGCAACGTGGATTGAAAGAGAGCTAGAGGAAGGCAAAGAGAAAAAAATATCTAGATGGCCTGGTCAGATGGATGTGGCGAGACACAAATATTGAACTGTATCGTGATTCTGGTGATAGTGTGAGATGGTGAAACATGGCAGCCTACACTTACCGGCACTGCACATGATGATGTGTCTAGTTATACTGCTGTTAGATCTCCTCGTGGCATCTTTTGTCCAGCATGGCTTTCTCACCACTGAATTTGCCTGAAGAATATGTCCCTGGAAGTAAAGGTATTCACTTTGATGTTGACCATATCATTTGAGCATGGGTCAACACAATAGGCCTGGTCACCACTGGCATGAAAAGAGCCCTTATTTATCATATGAACGTTTGTAACATTTGCCACGCTGGTTGGTCTCACTGCATGTTACAGGTGTTTCTCTGTTGCTTAGATATGCAGAGATAGCTGCCAGCCATTACAGTCATATCTCAGCAGCCATGAGCCAAACTGGCAAAGTGTACATCTGGGGTCAGTGCCGGGGCCAGTCACTGACGCAGCCCAAGTCCACCAGATTTGCCTCGACCGATGATGCTTTTGCTGCCTTCTCTACTCCCCCTGTCTCTTGGAGAATGTACTCTCTAGGTAAGTCCCAAACTGCTGTGTGCCTGAGTCTTCATCTTCACGTTCACTGGCTGTAAACTCTGGTGGAAAACTCTGGCTGTTCCTCTGCTTTGGGACTTCAGTCTTATTCCAGAACTTGAGTTTTGTGTGCACAACCATTTTACAGATCTGGCTTATTTGTAAGCAAACTGTTGGTTCCTTGCCTGTCAGTTAGATGCACTCTAACATTGAAGGAAACACCCCTAATTACTCGGCTTTTATAACATGTTTGTTGTTGCGGGGAAGATGAAGAGGTGGGAGTAGACCTTGAGTATTTCAGCGTCAGTGGACTCCAGTCCGTTACTCAAGGAAAATTCAAACAGAGATTATTTATTGGTGCAGGAGGTAGCAGTCATCACAGATTAGTGGTTAGTGAGATCTTTTCACAGTGCAGACCTCATTATTTACCAGGGTTCAGTTCCCACAGTGAATGTTTAAGAAAGAAAACCCATTCTAGTGGCTTTCAGACAATGGTACGAGAGTCACATCGTAGAAAGGGACTGGGGCTTCACCATGCAGTATTTCCACAGTTACCAGTGGATACATAGCAGACAGCCTCCCTTGTGAAGACAGCACAATAATTATAGTAAGAATAATCAAGTGACAGGCCTAGCAAGCTGGCAGTGGTGTAATTGATTGCTGCTACACAAGAAATATGGAATACATTTAGGACATATGAATAGCGCACTAGAACAGAAAATAACTATATGTGATATAAACTGTCTCCATAATGTCAACAAAAACAACACAAGAAGAGACATGGTAACGAATACAAGCATTTGAGAGAAAGCTGGAAAAAAGACCATGTCTGGATTATTTTCACAGACAAAGAATGAAATGATTCGGCCATTTAGTGAGAATGCAGCTAAACCAAACTGCTTATGAGGCAGAAAATCTAGGAGGAAGACAAGAGGAACACGAAGAAAGAGATGAATAAATGGTGTAGCTGAAACCTGCAAAAAAGATGAACAAATACATCACCCAAGCCAACCAAGAAGAACAAGACAAATACAGAAAATCCCAATACTGGATTACAACCTGGTATCTGTGAGATGACAAAAGAAGAAGAGTCAGGCTTCTCCGTTGGGGGTCCAGGGCCCCATTGTGGGGAAAACAAAAATAGACCACTGCCTCGTCAACAAGCATATTGCAGGAGTCAACTAATTGGTGGTGTTCTTTGAAGTTGGAGTACATCAGCCCAGGAGGAACCAGTAGTCTGCATACAAATAAACCAGATTTGTACAACAGATGTGCACGCAACACTCAGGTTCTAGAACAAGACTAAAGTCCGGAGGTGGACAAACAACCAGAATTCTCTGCTGGAGTTTATAGCTGATGAACGCAGTGAAAGAAGAAGCAGAGTTAATCAATGAGGCAACAGGGATCTAGTCTATAACAGCAAGCACTTGATTAGTCTACAGAGATTTCTGTGTGAGTTTTTGGTGTGAAGGTCCAAGTGTGATTTCATGTGATGTGGTTCTTGTTCTATGTTTCACAGATTCAATTAAAGGTTCTCGAATAGCAGATGCAGTAGCAAATGCCTTTGATAATCAAGTGAGTGCTTGTTTCACTGCATTCTGTTTCAGTCCACTTATCTAACTACAGATCAGTAATTTGTCTACGTTGTCACAAACAGACTTGTATATATGTATGTGTTTGATTGTCTGCTTGCTAGAGATAGGGGGGAGAAAAGGAGGGGGTATATATGTGATTTTGTCTCATAACATCATCATTTCTTGTACTTTATACGTCGCAAAGGGCTGACGGTTTATTGTCCGTTCTTCTATTTTGTTCTTTAAGGTGAAACTTCTGGGTCATGTTGGCAAATCACAGCTTATCACTCTCTGTCTGAAAAGTTATTTGTTTTAGTCAGGAGTCCAAAGGTTACTGGGATGAGTGCTTGGGGTGACACTATGAGCTGTGGATTTCATGTGTTTTGTTTGTTTCTGTTGTACCTGTGACGACTGTATTGTGAACTGACTGCACTAAAAATGGTTGCCGTCGAAGTGGTATGTACTTATTGTGTGTACAATGCCAGTTTTGATAAGTGGCCGCTTGCAACAGCAATGAGCCACAATAATGGTGTGGGAGTGTTGGTGTTGACACATCTGATCTGACAGCTGTCTTGTGCATTTATTTTACATGTACGAGCTTCAGGATTTTGCTGGGACTAACATGTTTTTCACTAGTTTTTAAATGTGACAATGAAGGTCATTTGTGTGATTCCCACTGACATGGGAGTGGACCAGTTATTTAATTTACAACCTCAACTAATGACCATCATGTGCCATTGTTTCAGAATCATAGATGGAATCCCATCCAGCACCTTTAGCCTCTCTCATCAGCGTTAGTCTTAGGGCTCATGTTGGACATCCTCGTTTCCTCAGCTCATTTGTTTCTCATTTTAGTGCCTGTATGATGATTCTGCGCCCGTGGCATAGGCGTTGCGAGTCCGACTCGTAATTCCAACGTACCGCGATTGAAACCCACTGCTGGCTGCGTGGATTTTTATCATGGTATGGGGCGTCGCAGGTTGACCCAGCCTAAAATATGTAAAAGGATGGCTGTCCTGGGAAAGTAAAGATGGCTGGCTTAATGCTGACTACATTACCCATCTTTTGCCGAATGGTCTGTAAAAATATTGGATGCTCTTCCCATATGCCCGATGCGCATAAGGCGTGAAAAGGGATCTTTATTTTACTTTGATGATTCTCTGTTTGCTTCTACTTAGGATGTGTCTAGTATATGACTGTCTCCTTAGTCTTCAGCTGTTGATATGGTTGGCTGTCCAAATGTTTCTCATTTTTCTTTGCCTTTTTCTTATCCCATTTAAAGTTCACCAGTTTTCTTAAGCAGTCTCATAACAAGTTCATATTGTTCACACATACAGATGTCATCTTGTGTTTATGGGCATCTCAGTTTAACAGGCATGATACAGAACATATCATTACTGTGTGAAAGACTGAAAACTTGTGACCTTTTGAAAATAAAGTTTGTAACCTTGTAACCTAGTACTTTCCCCATGTAGGTTCTACTTAGACCTCTGCTCACAAATACACACTTAGCTGCCTACTTTCCCCATGTGGGTTCTAGGCCCTTTTTTGGGGGGAAAACAAGAATAGACCCTCTGCCTCCCCACCAAGCATGTCATAGGTGTCGATTCATTAGGGGCATCCTTTTGAAGTCAGAGCACATTTGCTTGAGAGGCAAGGAACCAAGACTCTGCATACAAATAAGCCAGATGTGTGACACACAACACCCAGGCTCTGGAACAAGTCTAAAGTCTTGAGGTGGACGAAACCCAGCTGATAAATGCCAAGCAAAAGAAGCAGCAGCCTATTAGCTTCCTACTTAAGTTGCTTGCTAGGATGTTTCCTACACTTTCACTACATATTTCTCATTTTGAGCAATAATGCTTACCTGAAGGACATGTTTTGTCTCCCCCTGCAGGAGACCAGTGATGTGCGATTTGTTGTTGAAGGAAAGGAGATACATGTACATAAAGCAATCCTTAAGATGAGGTAACTGTTTGTTTGTAATAAAACCATACGTTGCACTACAAAGCCTTTATCAACAAGCACCACAACAAGAATCCTAGACAGCATACCTGTGGAAACCAAGGTGTACAGATCAGTGGAGGACGTGGGTCACACAACAACTTTTGTAGAGGTCTGTAGCCTTCTCACCCATTGGCAAGAAGAACAAGATAAGAAACCAGCCACCACATGGAGCCTCTAGTGCTGCAGCTCTAAGCCTTCCTAATGCTGCAACCAGTGATGTGCGATTTAATAAAGGAGATACACATGTACATAAAGCAATCCTCAGATGAGGTAAAGACTTTCCTCCGGTTGCACTAGCCTTTATCAACAAGCACCACAGCAACAAGAAGAATCCTAAACAACTATTTTCCTTCATAACTTCAATGAATATATGTTTTCCGATGGTCTTATGGGACCCCTGTGAAAGGGTCGTTCGAACCAAAAAAAAAAGGGTTGCGACCGGCAGGTTGAGAACCACTTGTCTAGTGAATAACTAACTGTACCAGAATATAAAATGTAGGAAAGGGAACTGATGTAGTGAAACAATGTTGTTATGGATATTCACTTGACTTCCACCATCCTGGGGGCCAGTGTAAAGGATTCAACTTCTTGTGGTGCTTGTTGGTAAAGACTTTGGCCAAAATGTTCAGTTGCTTATGGGCAGGTTTTTTCCCTTTCTGAGACATAGTTCAGTATATTCATTTTTCTGAAGGCATGAATATTGCTCACACCCTAGTTAGTACATTTTCAGAAATGTTCCCAAACATTCTTTGGTTGTTGGCATGAACTCCAAGGCCAGTTAAGGACTAGTCTTGTCTGCTATGTATGCTGGTTTTATTGTACATCCCAATGTCTGAAGAAAATGTTGAAAATAAAATGTGATGAATTCAAAAGTAGTGAAGAAATAAACGTGCGTGTAACTACAAGTATCAACAGTTAAAAGACAGTGAGTGAAAAAGGTGCTGTAATGGACGGTTTCTGAGGAGAAACCAGCAGAGAATCACTAAAGAGACTTTAAAATGGGGAAATAAGGGGATTAAGGAGGCAAGGATGCACACAAAAAAGAAACCTTAAGACGGACGTTGAGGAGAGAGGTCAAAGCTGCTGGACTAAATTCCACCCATAATATTGAACTGATTACACAGGATAGAATGAAATGGAGGAATAGACTGTGAGCCCTATGTGACATATGATGTCACAACAGGAGAATGAATAAATGTGTATGCAGAGGAGGACAGATTTTAGCTGAATATTGTTTAGAATGACTATTAATTATTGGCATCATGAGGGCCTATAGACTGCATTTTCTGGGATATATAGAGATAATAACAGATATAGAGATAATAACAGTTAACAAGAGACAACAATTACCTGCACAGAAGAGTTGAATGAGAGTTGATCACGAGACAGACTAAGAAGATGGTGGAGAGATAATATACAGTTAATTGTTTAATCTGCCGATTATCCTCATCGCACATCGGACAAACCAGTAAATGCTTGGATCCCATCTTCAGTAAATCTCTCAGCATGTAGCGACTGATAACACAGTTCTATGTTGCTTACTATCCTTCTTTGGCTAGCTGTAGTGTGATCATGTCTGGCAGTACGTCTTTTGACCTGAGGTTCTTGTAGTCTTTATAATGTTGCCAGTTCCCCATCATCTCCTGACTGATCTGCTCGTCCTGCCTCCTTGAGAGCATTGTGAACATTAGCCCCTTGATGTACAGGCAGACGTACAAACACTTTGAGTCGTTGAGTGGACAGAGAAATCCAGTCACAGTGAATGATGAATGGAGGCAGGTGATTTCTGGATGAAAAGAGCGATGAAGATGTCTTGTCAAAAACTGACTCACGAAGAGTATTGATTGCCCACTTCAAAAGGAAACAATCTACATTCTTTGCTTATGTCCTGATTAGAGTAAATCATGATTGTGGTAAACTTGGAGGAGAAAGAGGCAGAGAGAGAGACCGAGAGATATAAGACATCAGTACCAATGCCACAAAGTATGGAAGATCATCTGTGTCAGTACTGATTGAAAGTACATGAAACAGAAGGTTGTGGATAGCCATCAGTACCAATGCCACAAAGTATGGAAGACTATCTGTGTCAGTACTGATTGAAAGTACATAAAACAGAAGGTTGTGGATAGCCATCAGTACCAATGCCACAAAGTATGGAAGATCATCTGTGTCAGAACTGATTGAAAGTACATAAAACAGAAGGTTGTGGATAGCCATCAGTACCAATGCCACAAAGTATGGAAGATCATCTGTGTCAGAACTGATTGAAAAGTACATAAAAGAAGAAGGTTGTGGATAGCCATCAGTACCAATGCCACAAAGTATGGAAGATCATCTGTGTCAGAACTGATTGAAAGTACATAAAACAGAATGTTGTGGATAGACATCAGTACCAATGCCACAAAGTAGGGAAGATCATCTGTGTCAGAACTGATTGAAAGTACATGAAACAGAATGTTGTGGATGGACATAAGTACCAGTGCCACAAAGTATGCAAGATCTTCTGTGTCAGAACTGATTGAAAGTACATGACACAGAATGTTGTGGATGGACATAAGTACCAGTGCCACAAAGTATGCAAGATCTTCTGTGTCAGAACTGATTGAAAGTACATGACACAGAATGTTGAGGATAGACATCAGTACCAATGCCACAAAGTAGGGAAGATCATCTGTGTCAGAACTGATTGAAAGTACATGACACAGAATGAAAAGAGCGATGAAGATGTCTTGTCAGAAACTGACTCACGAAGAGTATTGATTGCCCACTTCAAAAGAAAACAATCTACATTCTTTGCTTATGTCCTGATTAGAGTAAATCATGATTGTGGGAAACTTGGAGGAGAAAGAGGCAGAGAGAGACCGAGAGATAGACATCAGTACCAATGCCACAAAGTATGGAAGATCATCTGTGTCAGTACTGATTGAAAGTACATAAAACAGAAGGTTGTGGATAGCCATCAGTACCAATGCCACAAAGTATGCAAGATCTTCTGTGTCAGAACTGATTGAAAGTACATAAAACAGAAGGTTGTGGATAGCCATCAGTACCAATGCCACAAAGTATGGAAGATCATCTGTGTCAGAACTGATTGAAAGTACATAAAACAGAAGGTTGTGGATAGCCATCAGTACCAATGCCACAAAGTATGGAAGATCATCTGTGTCAGAACTGATTGAAAGCACATAAAACAGAAGGTTGTGGATAGACATCAGTACCAATGCCACAAAGTATGGAAGATCATCTGTGTCAGAACTGATTGAAAGTACATAAAACAGAATGTTGTGGATAGCCATCAGTACCAATGCCACAAAGTATGCAAGATCTTCTGTGTCAGAACTGATTGAAAGTACATGACACAGAATGTTGTGGATGGACATAAGTACCAGTGCCACAAAGTATGCAAGATCTTCTGTGTCAGAACTGATTGAAAGTACATGAGACAAAGGGTTGTGGATAGACATGACTGCCAGTGCAACTGATGATGTATGCTGTCTGTGTGATGTGGTAACCCTTCTGTCTTCCCCAGATGTGAACATTTCAGGTCAATGTTCCAGTCTTGTTGGGATGAAGGCAGCAGAGAGTAAGTGTTTCTTGCCATTTATTTATGAATCCTTCTTTTCTCACTACTTTATAATTAGCTCTCTTTGTGTCCCAAAGTTTTGCTTGTATGAGTTCCGGGGTCCTATTGTAGGGAAAACAAGAATAGACCCACTGCCTGCCCAAAAGCATGTCGTATGAGTCGACTAATTGGGAGCTTCCTTCGAAGTCGGAGTACATCTGCCTGAGAGGCAAGGAACCAACAGTCTGCATGCAAATAACTCAGACCTGTGAAACGGATGTATACGCAACACTGAGTTTCTGGAACAGGGCTAGAGTCCAGAGGTGGACAAGCAACCAGAACTTTACCGGCGGAGTTCACTGCTGCCGAACGTTAAGAACACGAGGAAGTGTCCCAAGAAGCTGATATAGATCTGTTCATCTGGTTTTAAACACCATAGAAAAGTTAGTTGTTGTGTTGTGTCTTTCTCAGCTGAATTTGAAAACTAAATATCTTGGTCAGCTTATTTGAAAAGGTTAACAAAAATCCCATGTTGATTAACAGCTGTACTAGTGTGAAGTGTTAGATCGCACCGAGATGTACACAACAGTTCTCCAGAGCACCATGTGGTTAGGTCTGAACTACCAAATAACGTGTTTCCCCAAAAATACGCCTACCACAGAAATAACACCTAGGCCGATTTTGGTACTTAATTTATAACTTACCCCTGACGTCACGACAACGTCACGGGAGACATTCCCAATAAATTCTAGGGTGTTCAGGTTGTAGTTTCTCGCGATTTCTCTACAGTAAAGGTTAGGGTTAGGATTAGAAGACACTAGATGAACACTCAAAAAAAGCAGCACACTTGCACCCCTTGAAATAATGGACTGTCAGGTCAGCTGTGGATTTCCCATGGGGATTTCCTGTTTGCGGTACGTTGTAAATTAAGAACCCCGATTTTTAATATAAGTCCTACCCAGCAATTAAGTCCTAGTTGAGGGTTTCGGCTGGAATGATAGACTATTGCTGAATGGCTAGTCGGAATACAGAAGCCACTGGTGCGCATATAATAAGGAATCAATGTTTTTCGTATATGCACAAAGAAGTAAGTGACAGCATTGAAAATAGGTAGAACAGAGATAAATGTGCCTAGAAACTTTGAGAAGCCTAGTTTGCAGGAAGTCGGGCACAATGGCTAGAACTGACTGTCTGGTATGGATGGGTATTGCCTTTCTTCTTCTTCTGCCTTTCTATCCCCCAATGGAGCATAGGCCCTCAACAAACTCACGCCAAGTCGTTCTATCCTTCGCCATTGCATGGAGCTCTCCCCATGTCCTCCCCATCTTTCTAACTTCATTCTCCAGCTCTCTTCTCCGTGTGTTTTTTGGCCTTCCTTTATTCCTATGCCCCTGTGGGGCATGTTGCCTTTGCAAGGGGAAAAACTACAGCCTGCTGTGGATATTTATGCAAAGAAAATTATCTCGGTACAGTAGGCTGCAAACTGACAAGACAACCAACACCACACAGCAAGGGTTCTTAAAATACATATTTAAAGAAAAAAACACTTTTCTGAGCTGAAAACCGACTGACGTTTTAGCCAAGGAAGGCAGCAGCAAGCCACAAATCTACCAGCCACCTTGTTTTCCAGAAGTCAAAAATCATTAGGAGACAATCAGAAACAAACACAGGTAATAACCATGAAACTGATTTCCTCAGATAGATCAAATCACAATTTTTTTGCTTACACACTGGACGCTGCAGACTTAACAAACACTCTTATAAATTAGGTATGAGCCAAACAGCTTTCTACCAGTGTTTTCATACTGAACAGACTCAACAAACACTCATATAAATTAGGTATGAGCCAGACAGCTCTCTGCCAGTGTTTTCATACTGAACAGACTCAACAAACACTCATATAAATTAGGTATGAGTCAAACAGCTTTCTGCCAGAATTTTTCATACTGAACAGACTCAACAAACACTCATATAAATTAGGTATGAGCCAGACAGCTCTCTGCCAGTGTTTTCATGCTGAACAGACTTCAGAATGCGTCTTGCATGACAGTCCTCTCTTGGCAGAGCTTTGAAGCAACATGTAGCCACACCCGGTAGACCTGACAACCAAGCTTTGGGGAAACTGAAGAGACCTTGAGATGACATCCCAGTTTATGGCCCACAGTGGATTGTGCGCATGACCAGAGATCGCTGAAGAAGAAGAGCCGAAAGCCCACATTACATTGGACATTTATAATTGAGTTTGATTGAGCACAGTCCTCAAAATAAAACATTTATTGATAAATTTATTATCAAATGTCTTTTTGTTTTCTAACGCAGATCAATAGAGATTACCCAGTATCCGTACACAGTATACAGGGCTTTCCTACGCTACTTATACACAGATGATGTTGATCTCCAGCCGGATGAAGCTATAGGTACGGACGTGGTGCTAGTAATTTGTTCAGCTTTCTGGAAGTAGGTTTTATCTCCAGCAATAGTGTTATGTTGTGCTGGGGCGTTCACAGCATGCTCAGTGGGCAGAACTGTCAACATCGCCTTCTCTGTGACATTACCAGCAGCGTGAAGGTGATGACATTAACGCAAGTGTTGGCACGGCTTGAAACATACAACTGCACCCCCACACGTGTACTCAGTGGTTCAGTGAGTATGATCCGCAGGGTTCAGGCAGGTTCGGTGAGAAGGCAAGGCTTGAATCATGACAAAAGTCCACTGTGTGTGGAGTCACTTTATTTTCGCTTTGGGATATGCAGGCGTCGATGGAAATAAAAGAGCTGATAGGTTGGCTGGATCCACTATCACTACCGATGGTCAGTCTATGGATCATGGTGATATTTGTAATGTCCTTCGGGAAATGGGAAGGGTGGAGGACTTTAGGGGCCGTAAATCCACTTCACTCACCAAAATGATAGACTTAGGAGTTAAGACTGGCATAGCGTGAGACGCACACCAGACACATCAGAGGACGTTAATCAACACAGAACTGGTACCATTAGCCACCGGATGCTGGGGTTCATAGTGAGGGAAGGATCTGAGCACCTATGGACATGTCCAGATGATAACCCAACTAACTATGGGAATCGCAGCCCATGGTGAGGATGTCTAGTAAAGTCAGACTTGCTCACTTTAACCCGTTTGCCCCAGTAACACTTTAAAGTTTAACCCCACAAACTTGGGAGTTCCACACAAAAATCCTTTTTAAAAAAGTTTATTTACATGTATTTTTTTATTTAAAAAAAAAAAATTAAATATTTCAAGAAGAGTAATCAGTTAACATCGAAGTGTAGAATTAAAGGATTTCTTTCACTAGAACCTAAAAACATTATACATTGACTTATATCTGACTTTTGTCCCTGATTACAAAAGGCTAAAGGAGAATCTTGAGCTCATCATGGCTAAACATGTTGTACAATTAACCCCTCCCCCATGCTTATTTTTAGTCAGTTTGACTACACCTGGGGCACCTGAACAGTGCGCAGGCACAGACAGAACTAATGCCAGTAACTTGGGTTTTTAGGGGCAGGCCAAAGACTTAGTGCCTGTGTAGTGTCTTCTCAGGGATGAATGGCATATGGAAATGCGGGATTGAGTGCTATGGAGGTGGGGGAAGGAAAGGGAGCGTGGTCACATGGTTAAGAATAGTCTTCCACAGTTTGAGCATAGGGTGTTAAAACCATTGTGATATTTTATGTACTTCTTCTTATCACTTATCTGCAATAATTTTCTCCTTGATCCCTACTCCCATCCTAATAAAATAATAAAATAACATATTGACTCTTCGTTGGCTCCTGAAGAAGGGCACGGAGCAGGTGTGGGAATGTCCTGAGTGCAGGGATGATGTGTCTTGATTCATTCATTCATTCACTCATCCCATCCTGATTGTTCCCCTCTATGCAACATGAGCCATTACATCCTGACCCTATGAATCAACTGTACTAGAGACAGTTATGGTTGTTCAAGGTGTGTGATAATAGATAATGGGATAACACTCAGTAAAAGAGAACAATAAATACCCAGCCAACAAAGAGTGGGGGGGGGGGGGGGGGGTTTGTTGTAATAGAAGAATGATGATACTATGTGGAGCAAAATTAAAGGAGTCTGGATCATCAATACCTTCTTTCATCTAGGAAAATCTCCAGAATTGGCACTTGAAATGTTATGTAATTAGAATGTCTTTGGTCTGGAAATCACAGAGTCATAGAAATAAGGGCAGACCAACAAAGCACATGGAGAAGGGAGTTAGAGAGTGAAGTTAAAAAGATGGGGAAGACATGGAGTGAGCTGCATGCAATAGAGAAGGATAGAATAACTTGGTGTGAGTTGGTTGAGGGCCTATGCTCCATTGGGGGATAGAAGGAAGAAATAGAAGAACACTCAACAGTTATTCTAAAAAAGAATAAGTTGGTTACTCTTTCCTCTTGAGCCTAGGGTGGCACATAGGGCAGAGGTCATAGCTCTCCATGTCTGGTGGTTCATTGCCACCTGGTTTAGGTCTTGGATGTTTGTTAGGCCCATTGTTAAGCATTCTCTTGTGGTGGTTCCACGCACGGTCTCTTTTGCTCTTACCTGTTGTTTGTTTTTTCCCGGTGTCCATATGAGGGCTTGGTGAGGGAGTCTTCTCTTGTTCATTTTGAGTTCATTGCCGATGTAGTTCAAGCAGCACTTTCTTATAAAATTGGATGCATTATCTTGCTAGGTCTCTTCATCATAAACAACAGATGCAGTAAAATACAGAAGTGAATGGCAGAAAAAGTTTTTTGCTTTCATTTTCAGATATACTTAACTGTCCCTTTTGTAACTGACCTTAGGTCTGCTGGATCTGTCCAACTCGTACTGTGAGGAGCTGTTGAAGATGAAATGTGAAGGGATCATACGCCAGGGAATATCTGTAGAAAATGTGGCCATGTTGTACGCTGCGGCTATCAAATTTGGGGCACAGGTGAGATTCTGTTTGTGATTGTGTGAAATGAGAGTAGATGTGATGTTAGATGTTTCTCTGAGAATATTGGTAGTTTTTTCTTTTTTTCTCGTTCACTGGCTGTAAACTCTGGCGGAAAGTTCTGGTTGTTCGTCCACATCTGGACTGAAGTCCTGTTCCAGAACCTGAGTGTTGCGTGTGCATTTTTTGACAAATCTGTGTGCAGACTGTTGGTTCCTTGCCTCTCAGACAAAAGCACTCCGACTTTGAAGGAAGCTCCCAATTAGTAGACTATTACGACATGCTTTTGGGTAGGCAGTGGGTCTATTGTTTTTCCCATAGTAGGGCCATGGGACCCACACAGGGAACAAATATTAGTAGTGAAGTCGTCAAAGTGTTTGACCCGCACTCTTAAGCTGATAAGTTCATTTGGTGTTGGGGGGGGGGGGTGTGGGGGAATAGACCCTCTGCCCTCTAATAGGCAGGCAGTTCAAGTCAGATTATTGATGGTGGGGGGGATAGACCCTCTGCCCTCTAATAGGCAGGCAGTTCAAGTCAGATTATTGGTGGTCTTTCCCTAAGACCTTGAGCTTACCTTTCTGAGAGGCAAGGAACCAACAGTCTGCACACTAATAAGCCTGATCTATAAAACAAATATGCATACAGAACTCAAGTTCAGAAGTCTATAAACAACCAGAAGTTTCCACCGGAGTTACGTGAAGAAGAAGATCAGATTGGATCTACAGAGCTGGTGTCTAATGCAGTTCTGTTTGGAGGGAAAGTAAAATTGGGTCAGATGTACAGACATGGTGCAATGAAACTGACCTCACCTTCGGTCACCATTATAGATTTGTCTTAGCTTGTCTGCTAATTATTTGCGTTGTTGTTTCAACATGCTCTTTGGTTATTTTTTTTTTTTTTTTTTCCCCACATTCATTTTAATTAATACATCACCTTTGTTTTCAACATCCTCTTAATCCTTTTGCCCCTTGAACTCACTCACACAAATTAAGTCCTGCCGCTGATAGAATTGCAGAGAAGCAATCCGTTTAAAAAAAAAAAAAATTACACACAGATCACTTTTAAGTTTGTTTAAAATATTTTTACCCCCCCCCCCCCTTTTCCCAAAATTTTTAAAGATAAATGAAAGAAGTAAACAGTAAACATGAGAACACAGTTGAGCATTTGATAAAACTCATCCCCCAGGGCTTGAAAAAGAGAGCACATGTATCTGGTGACTCATGTCATAACCTCTATCACTGGGGCTTACGGGAAACTTGGCTTTAAAAAGTCATTTAGCTCAAAGGACACCCCAACCCCTAAAGGCTATTCCTGTATAATTAATTCATATCCTGACCTCCTAAACATTTGCACAGAGGCGTGAAAACATCCATTAGCATTAAACATGAGTCTCATACGCACATCACTATAGGCAAGTCAGAAAAGTGACATTTAAGGGATATTTGACCCAAACAAAACCAATAGTCTCTTTAGTTAATGTTTTTCTTTTTTTCAGCATTCTCTTTAATTGAGACATCTCTTTTTTTTTACTAGTGGTCTATTTATTTAATGTTTTGTCTTTTTTCAGCATTCTATTTAATTTTTTTTTTCAAAAGTCTTTCTATTCAATGTTTTGTCATTTGTCAACAGTCTGGATAATTATTATGTTTCCTTTTTTGCAGCATTCTCTATAATTATTACCTCTCCTTCCAGCAACTTGAAGAATTTTGTTTCCGGTTTGCCCTGAACCACATGACAGAGGTCACCCAGTCAGAGGCTTTCTGCAAACTGGACGAGTCGGTGGTCAAGGAGTTTATAGTGAGAGCCAGCAAGGCTGGGGTGTTCCGCAGCTGACTGAGGCTTCTGGAGGGTGGTCAGTGAGGTGAATCCAAGGAGGGTGTACAGTGAGGTGAGTCAGCGGAGGGGGGCTGGACACTGAGATGTGGCAGTGCAGTGGAAGGGGGGAGCCTGAAAAATTTTTCTCAGAGAGTTCATCTGTGAATGTCTGGATGAGCGGCTCATCTTGTCAGAAATGACTTATTAATTGTTCACAAGGATGTTTTCTTGTAGATGACTTAGTCTGTCGGAGGGGTGGAGATACACGAAGAACATTCTGGATACATCCTGAAAGGTTATATTCTACAGTGAACATTTAATATGGATACTTTTCATCACTGCAGTTAGCTGTTTAGATAGATATCAGTGTTTATTACAGTGAGAGAGTTCTTCTGCATTCATCCGAAGACGTCATTTTCTTGCGCTTGTTTACAGCATGGCTGCAGTATTTGCGCCTTTCAACCGACACATCCTACTTCTGCAGGTATTAGTTGACCTGGTTACCCTTCCCAGCAGTGGGATAGTTAACAGAGAATGTATTAAATAGATAACATGAATTACAATGAGAGATGACATTAATTACACTGAGAGAGTTGATGTTAATTACGATGAAAGAGTTGATGTTAATTACAATGAGAGAGTTGATGTTAATTACAGTAAGATTGATGTTAATTGCAGTCAGATAATTAACATTAATTACGGTCAGATAGTTAACTGAGATTGTGTTAAATAACATTAATTACAGTGAGAGAGTCGACATTAATTACAGAAAGAGAGTTAACATTAATTACAGTGAGATAGTTAACATTTATTACTATCAGATAGTTAACTGAGATTGTAATAAATAACATTAATTACAGTGAGAGTCGACATTAATTACAGGGAGAAAGTTAAACATTAATTACAGTCAAATAGTTAAAATTGATTGCGTTCAGATAGTTAACTGAGATTGTGTTAAATAACATTCATTACAGTGAGAGAGTTAACATTAATTACAGTGACACAGCCCAGCGGGATTTTGACCACCTCACCATCTAGTGCGGTATGCTCTATAAAATATGAGTCTAGCATAATTTGCCTAAACATCAGTTACACACTCCTCGATTTTCTACTTCCTACACAAAATATGGACATTTTTTGTTCCAAATGAGACATCAGTCAGTGCATTTAGTACACCTGGATCTTCTGTTCAGTGAATATTTCACAAACACGCAGTCAAACCTGAATTTTTAATGAGGTTTCTATTCTGTAATAACAATGTCCTTTTCCGTTAACAGTAATTTCAAAAAAAAAAAAAAATTCTTACTATGAAATTAATTTTCAAAGTCTTAACTGAGAGACGAAAAGGAAAAATATTTGGCAGCGTCAGAGATGTGGTTTTTATAAATGGATGATGGGAATATATCCTGGAAAAAAAAAAAAAGTGTTAAAGGTTCATAAACAGCATCCTGTCCCGAAAGTTGAAGTATTTTGGCCACATCAAGCGTCATGGTGGCTTGGAAAACACGGTGATGAAGGATGCAGTTTGTGGAAGGCCGGGCAGGGGTTGACCACCGCAAAGATGGATACAGGATATTGAAGATGCATTAGCATTGAAAGCATATGGGGCCGGAGAGCTGGCTAGGGAAAGGGATACTTTCAGACGTGCCGTGAAGAGAGCCACGTTCTGTAAAGGACTTGCTGATTGATGATGATGATGATGATGTCTTGAAAAAAAAAAAAACACTGGCTTATGAAGAGAACTAACTGCCAACATCAGAAGGCGACAGTCTACATTATTTTGTCATGTCATGAGAGTGGGGGGGGGGGGGGGGGGGGGGGAACCTGAGTACATCATGACGGGGAGAAAGTGAGAAAGTTGGAAGGGAGGAGAGGTAGAGGGAGAACGAGAGAGTGCTGGATTGTTTGACATTATGGCATGGCATGGAAGATTATCTGAGTCAAAACTGGTTTAAAGTACAAGAGACATAAGGTTGTGGTTGGATATGACTACCAGCACCAAAAAACATGGACTATTACAAGAAGAAGAAGAAGTGAGAAGTAGTTACCGTCTATTGAAGACAGTTCTACCCTCCATAGAAGATATTTCTTGCCTTAGTATTCTGACGATTCCTCCCTTTTATTTAAGGTTATTTCACCTTTCTAATAATGATAACCCCACCCTTGCAACTATGAGGATTCCACCCTCCAAGTAAGTTGTTTCCACCACCTCCAAGTAAGATGTTTCCACCACTCTCCGAGTAAAAGGTTTTAACTCGCCAAGTAAGACGTTTCCTTTCTCCAAGTAAGATGTTTCCACCCTCCAAGTAAGATGTTTCCACCCTCCATGTAAGATGTTTCCACCCTCCAAGTAAGATGTTTCCTTTCTCAAAGTAAGATGTTTCCACCCTCCAAGTAAGATGATTCCACCCATCAAGTAAGATGTTTCCAACCTCCAAGTAAGTTGTTTCCAACCTCCAAGTAAGATGTTTCCACCCTCCAAGTAAGATGGTTCCAACCTCCAAGTAAGATGTTTCCACCCTCCATGTAAGATGATTTCACCCTCCACGTAAGATGATTTCACCCTCCAAGTAAGATGTTTCCACCTTTTAAGTAAGATGTTTCCACCTTCCAAGTAAGATGTTTCCAACCTCCAAGTAAGATGTTTCCACCCTCCATGTAAGATGTTTCCAACTTCCAAGAAAGTTGTTTCCAACTTCCAAGTAAGATGTTTCCAGCCTCTAAGTAAGACGTTTCCACCCTCCAAGTAAGATGTTTCCACACTCCACGTAAGATGTTTTTACCCTCCAGGAATATGATATTAACTCTGTAATAACTTATCTTCATGGCTTCACTGTGTATCAATTGTTAATCACAGTAAAAGTTGTTTACTTTTGTAACATTATTATAGTAACAAAAAACAAGTGTCCACCACCAGAATGAGATCTCACCCTGCAAGAACAAGTCTTTTATGTTACATGTGTTTTGATTATTATTTGTGAGCAATGTTTTTTATCACAGTAAAATTATTCACTATTGTAACTTTAATTTAGTAACACATAAACATTTCCACCATCCAAGTATGAAGATCCCACCTTGCATTGTCTTATTATTAATTGTATTAGAATAAGAATTTTTTTTTAATCTGTCTTTGTTAACTTTAAAAAAAAAATAGAAACATTTATGTTTATGACTGTTTATACTAATAAAAATTCACTCGTTATAATTTTATCTTCATTATATTAACAAAAACAGTCACCCATGAAATTTAGTGATAGCACTGCAATGTTAATAAAGTTGTACTGTGGTTATTTTTAAACAGAATTTAGAAATAATACAAATGCACTTGCAAAATTTATTGTTTGGTATAATTTGCTGTATCTCATCAGGTAAATTACTATGGAATTTACTTCAGCATACAGTATTTGTCTGTGTATAAGACTTTATGTTTTTATAAAAAAATTTTTATTTAATCACAAATTCATAGTTTCTTTTATACACAGACTGTGTTTCATATATATTATTTTTTTATATAAAACATGAATTCTGTCAACTGCAATCACTCAGATTACGTAGTCTTTTTCTACATGAACATGTCGCTGAGGAAATCTTACTGTAACCACATCATCCTTATGTTACATAAGAAGATATTCATTCCCGCATTGAGCTACCAGAGCCAGACATTCACACTAACTTAAGCTCATGTACGCAAAATCACCACTTGCGAAATGAGATCCCTGAGACAAGATGGCAGCCTAACCAACTGAGATAGAGTGTTTAATGATACTAACAATCAGACAGATCTGCGGGAATGACATTTTGTACTAGGTTCTTGGAGAAACAGCAGATCAAGTGGTTTGACCTGCTTATTAGAAGGCAGCAAGATCAGATACAATCACAGGCACTACATCTCAGAAGATCAGCCACAAGTGCAAGAGTACGGCTGCAAAACATGGATCGACAACATTAAAGACACCTTACAGCTTCATCCATGACAAAAGCCAATGGCAGTCAGTGTGTACTGGATCAGAAATCATTCCTCCCACGGCACTTTACAGCCAAAATGGTTTATGGTGATGATGACAAGTGGATTAAGTTGTTTATACATTGCACCTCCAGCCACCAGAATAACTTTGCCTGCAAAACCATCAACTTTTCCCTTAACCTAAATGTTCGAGATGATTGCCTCAAAACTGTCTTCAAGCCCAGCTCACCTCGATTACCCAGTAGTCAAGCCAACCCCATTCCAGCAGATGCAAGTACATTTTGGAACATAGGCTATCTTAACATCAGTGCATCTGACTCAACTCTGTTGCCTGAGTGGCTGCTAATCCGGCAAAAACACCTGTACAACTCCCAGTATGGATGTTAAACTGGCATTGCTGCATTGACCAGTCCTGAGCAAGCCTACTTATCAGGATTAGTTTTGTATGTGCCTGCACAGTGTTTAGGAGGACAGGGTATGATTATATTGACTAAAAATAGCATTTGGGGCATGGAGGAGTTATTGTCATAATTTGCATTCACCCTTTAGTGGTCACATTTGATTAACTGTATAAATCTTTTAAGACCTAAGGAATGTATTCCATTTAATTCTCCATTCACATATATTGCTAACGCCCTTTTCTATATTTCTAAAATATAATTCTTAAATGTAAATTATTAATTCTTTAAAACACATTTTTAGGGCCTTGTAAAATATTTTTTTAAAGGATTTTCTCAGGAATGTCTGGGTTCACGGTTCTCTTTAAGGTTTCCAGGACAAATAGGTCAAACTCAGTTTTCCCCAGCATTCACAGACAACATCAGCAGAGCTTGCTACTGTGGTAAGATAGCTAGAAAAGTGACTGTGCATTCTGCATAGTATTTAGTATCACAGTTTGTCCTTTGAACCTCTGTCTAGGCCATTATTCCTCAAACTTGTTACACCTGCAGCCCACCAAATGGAAACTTGTTAACCTGCAGCCCACCAAATCAGGGACACTTGTTACACCTGCAGCCCAAAACAGGGAAACTTGTTACACCTGCAGCCCAAAACA